TTTCTCAGACAGCGGCGCTACACCCTCCTCATATTTCGAATTCCAATTGTCAAAGGTAAAACACGGGACATGAGTTTTTCGTAAAACCCAAACAACAAGATCACCCGTTCATGCACCACTAACAAGGAGGGAGTGGGGGTTCTCGGCCCATCAGGTCAGTTAGCCACAACATGAAACCCACCCCCTTCCTCTCTGACTGAATTAGGCAGTAATAGATATGCAGGGACGTCCTGTAAAGTAGTAATCGCCAGCGCACCCCGATTGACGTGAACTAAGTAACCACTTTTCGATTAAGAGATCAAATTCGATGCGCAATTGTAAAGTTCAGTGGTATGCATAAAGCAAAATTTAAGGATTCATCTAGCATTTCTTTGTTTACTAAAGTATAAATAATTAGCGTTTAAAAGTTAAACAAAAAATCAATTAATGACTTGAATCGTCATTTGGTTGAAGGGTGTTTTTGAATTTATTACAAAGCTGAAAATAAGACATAATAATCTTGTTGTCAGATTGGGTAATCGATATATTTCATCATTTGTTGAGTATCCTCATTGAAACGTTGCAGTTAATAAACCCAGAGAATGTCCTAAAGTTGTCTGTTATGATTTATTACCCTGAAATATTTGTCTCTGTCGATCTTGTAACTTTTTAACTAGTTCAAACTCATTCAGTAACATTAAGGCACATTCACTCTGGTCTATATCGAATGCTTCGTTCCAAGCCGTTGCTGTTATCGTTAATTTAAATGGTTTCTTAACGGCACAGAAATCACCAATTATTCTTAACAGATTTTTAAAATTGTGAATCTCGTCTAGCTCGTCGGTTCCCAAAGAAGTGATTTCTTTAAAAAGTTTTCGTTTAAAATGTTCGTAAATATTTACGTCTGCTTTCTGTATATTTCTCAGATTTTGGCGATGTTCAGGACTAAGTGCATACTGTTTCTTCTGTGGGTTCTGGTTACGTTTGATATAAAGCACGTCCCTAGTTTTCCAGCACAGTTTCCTTTTCAACAATACAAGAGATTCGTCAAAATATTCCATCACCATCACAAAGTGGAATTCTACGTCTATACGCTCTACAAGCGATCTTATACTTGCCTCGACATTTCGTTGTACAACAGGAAGACCAAAATCATACGCCATTCCCCTGATAGCAGATACTTCATCTGTTTCGCTTTCGCCTTTGATATGAGCATAGATGTAAGGATCACCCTTATATTTTTCCACCAAAGGAATCCCCCTACCTTCATAGAAATCCATGGATATATATCTCTCCACCGGATCCCGCACAATACCAAGGATAAATGGATTATTTGGAATAAGTTTTCGGTATATAATGTTGTCATAAATCGTATCAACGGATAATATATTATACACTCGACCTTTGGGTAATGGTATGATGGATTGCCAATCAAAATTATCTAAACTTCCCAAAACCCAGAATTGTCCTTCGTGAGGTTTATCTGGAAGAACAAAATTAAGATCATTCCTCATTCCAAAGCGCTGAATAATATTTGAAACAGTTGTACTGCCACATTTATGAACTTTCAAGAAAGCAATGTCGTTGATTTTTTTCCTACAGACTGTTAACCGACCGATGGGCTTTGTTTTCTTAAAGTATGGCAGATAATAACACACAGTAAATCTATAAACAAAAAAAAAGTGTATGTAAAATTTATCCACAGACAGACATTGATCATGTAGCCTACTTATCGCATTGCGAATAAAATCATTAATCATACATTTATTTACAATATCAAATCTTTTTTTTTTGGTCTTTTGCTTAAATATTTCAAAGTTGTGTAAATAATATTCCCGCGTACAAACTGGGTGAATTAATGGTATATATGGACTAAAAACATATTCAACTAATTAATTTGCCATAATTTTGCTTCAAATCCTTCTCAAACATTGTAATTGCGAAGGAATGCCCTGCTATAAAAATTCGATTAAACCAGGTCATGTTGACGTCACTTGACTTACCTCTCTTGGAAGTCAGAGGAGAATTCATTGCATACATAAGACGATATTGTCTTTAATCGCTTACTGTTTATTACAAATATCGAATCCTCATTAAATTCTCGAATTATCCACTACCCGCGTCTTTTTCCGTCATTTGTATCTCAGAAAGTGTTCTACGTCTAACTCTTCATAAAGTTTATCAACTTGTACATCAAGCGCTCAATGTTCGTGCAGAACTTTTTAATCGTCGGGCTGTCGATTAGGGGAAACCTTACATTTTTGTCCTGTATACGCTCCATGAGTGTTTTTCGGGGAACCCAGTATTTTACTAGTAAGATTGGATATCTCTACTTTCCATATATAACAAAATTGCCATACTTTTATTGGAAATAACCACCCGATAAATACTTTTCTGGGAACCCATCTTTAAGACGTGTTTTTTTTTCGCCGTACCACTATCCTAATATAACTAAAATAATATACATGTAAAATATATAATTTACAATTAAGATATTTAGCATGTGCATCAAAACTGGTTTACAAATGTTAAATATAATTCGTCTACTAGAAGCTATCGCGCTTTGATAATATAAATTTACAGGGGTCAGGGCAGTCATCCCTGTTTGAAGGGATCTTGGTTCAGAAAGATTCTTCTATTGATATTTCCTGTGTAGATATACTAGAGATCTTATTCCCATTAATGCATTTCCCCTACCGACAGAAACGAACTGATGGGTTTCTTATAGAAGCATCTCTACGAAGCAGCGCCTTACTTGCTCAGTGCTAGGCCATACTAAGCCTTCTACAATGCTTTATATTGTTCTCGACACTACAAGGCTTATGAAAAAAACCTTTAGCTGTTAAAGAAAAACAGATTTACTTACCCCAAAATAAAACCCAGGAATATTATTTTTCTTAGTCGAGATAGAACCATCGTAAAGTCTGTAAATAAACAAAATTTAAATGTATACCTCAAAGATCATCGTTTTGTTTCTACAAAAGGGCGTAGACGTTCGGATGAGAACAAGGTCCACTTGGAAACAAGAACCATTGACAGTTGGGATTCGAATATGTGTAGGTGCGAAAACCACTTCCCGCGCAAAGTTCTCCTCGCGTGTGACCATGGATGTGCACCTCCAAATGCAATATTGTGTGGACGGCGATGATTATTCATTGATTTTATAATCATAGCAGACAAGTATTCTACCTCAGATTTCTCCAAATGCCAGTATTGTGTAGGCGGCGATGTCATCTTCGAGTCAATGATTTTATAATGATATAAGACAAGTATTCTACCTCAGGTTCTCTGTTAAAACGCTCTTCTTGCAAGAAAGTACGGCGAATATGCACCAAGAAACAAGTACATAAACATACAATACACAAATGAAAATATTAATTCAGTATCTAATCGAACGAACTACTTGAGTTTGGCCATGCGGTATCTGACAGGTTTCCTATTCTCACCTGGGTCTTACAGTAGACAGAGCTACAATGTTCGTGGACGTTAGATATTCATTGGAATATCATTGGAAGATAAAGCCAGCTGGTCACGGATCGAGTATTAGCATTCGATATGAAAACAAGCGTTTAAGTACGATGTAAGCCGAGCATATAAAATCAGCTGAATAAAAAGACAATGTAAATTGAATTCGTTGTCTCACATCTGCTGAAAATCACTTTTAATATTACACAAAAATTTTGATTTCCAATAAACACGGCTACACAAATTCCTATACGTAAACATCTGTCACATGAATAAAATTATGATTATATCTTTAAATTGTTTTTCAAATATATTATTACGTTATTGTGGTATATTCTAAGTTCTTTTATATTTTTCAAAGTGGTGTCATCCTGTCAGTGGTGGAGGGCGAAGGATCTGGAAAGGGATGTGACGCAAAACCGAGGTACCGTGTGCATGCTGGCGTGCACGTAAAAGAACCACTGACAATTGGGATTCATTTGCTGCCCGGGAAAATTCCTTCTGCATTTTCCCAGCCCGTGCAGAAAAGTGGGACATTATCCCCATTTCATTTCATTCCGGGCAAAATTCCCCATACTTCATGCGTTTTCACCATCCCGATTTGTGCAGTAGGACGTTACACCACATGCAATCATTCATTATACATTCTGGGGTGGCTTTGAATATATACAGGGGAATTTGGGGTTATTCTTCTGAAAGTTTTGCTTTAAACCTGTAATGGATTATTCTTCCAGGGTATGCGTAGTACTTTTCTCCACGTCTGACAGGACAATCCTAAGAAACCGGTCGCCACATCCGGCGTATAACCCATGCATCGTTTCTAACTACATTTTCTGGAACAGCCCATGCTCGTCTAGTATTGACTCTGGCCGCATTTGTTTCTTATTTTCTTCTTTGGACTTCACTCTAAATATTGTGTATTTATTCTTCCACCTATTCAGTTTATGGATACCCACAGTAGCAACAATAGCACATTTCGTTTCTACATTTTATATTAAGAACTGCTACATATGGGTTACAAAGTTACAAGCATTATAATAAAGCCATTCTCTCAAACCCCTACATCTTCTTCCTACGAGAACTACATGACTGTTTACCCTAGAGCGCACATTCTATAAATTATATACTTTCTGATTCAAAGCCATTAATTATTCTATTGGCTAATTATGATGTAATTAATCATGTGATTGGTCACTCATGCTCAATAGGTCACGCATACAAACAGGAACTAATTACCAAATGTGGTCATCATTCCATTTCTGACCATGACAAATGTGTTTATTAAAGGGATATTCCCAGATGGATTTTGGGCTATAAAACTGCTTAATTGTGTGTGAAAAGCCCTTAATAACCGCTAACTTAGATCCGAGCAACTGCCTCAAGCCATGTGATACGTTTTCAAAAAACTTCCAATCGTCGGTATCGCTCCATGTGTGAAGACTTGTGTCCTGTCTGCATTATACAGAAGTGCCTGGATAACACGCGACTATGTGCAGCGCGCGCGCAGTGACATTTCCGTGTTACTTTCAGTTTGTTTATTCTAGTCTGGTGACAATGCGTCTTAGCCGTTCATGGCTCTGTGTTGATTATGTTTGATTATATTTGTTATACTGTATTCGACATTTATGTGCTAAATATGGATATTATAGACATAACCACAACTAAACACCATTTGTATATGCCGTGGAATTATAGGATGGGTTGTTGTTTTTATATTTTCGTGTGATCAAATAGATACTAGGCCTACTAAATGGCTGAACTTTTCACCTGCAAATGATACATTGTATACTAAAATACAGAATGGATTCTTTGTAATTTGGAAGATAGAATGGTTTATAGTGATAGCAGGTAGTCCCGTATTTATAAAAGGAATGGCTGGTAATTTTTGTCAATTGAAAAACTGTCATTCAAAATGGTTGAGAAGCGTGTAAACTGTAAAGTGTAGTAGGGCAGTGAAGAACAGACAAGTGTGATCAATGGACATGCAGGACTTGTGATACAAGTATGTCTTCATTCTTTATGAAATGTTTTGACCAAACTAAAAACTACCAAATAATAAAGACTATTTTTCGTTGAAAGTAATTATGTATTGCAATGTGTATATTTGTTTTAAACTCAATGAAATTTATAAACCAAATGACAATATCCTCAGAATTATTTTTGTTGATATTTTCACAAGTTTTGAATGTTTTGTTTTCTTCAGAATTGTCTAGAAAAAGCTATGTACAGGCAGTAAGAGTGGGAAAATCTATCGATATTTTATGCTTGTTATGCTGAGTAGCTGACACATCCAGTGATCCACGCACCACTATTCCTACACCACTATCAAGTTCTGATAATATTTTGCCGGATTTGCCAACACCAGAAAAGGCTACGACTGACCCATCTTACAGACCCTTCCTCTCCATCAAAGCGTAGGAAAACTGTGCACAGACGTGTTGTCTCAAGGCACCAAGAGATGTCACAGAGACCACAGAAAAATGGGTGGCAATGTTGAGATCACAGAGAATTGATGGATTGAAGGTATAAATAACAGTAATTTCTTTACTACAACCCTTATGCTGTATTATGCTTACTGTAGAAGAGGGGGTTGTGTAGCTGCTGTTACAAACCCAGAATGGTTTTGTTTAAAGTGCCAATGACGACAAACAGATAACTGACAAGTCATATCATTAACATTTTGTATAAAAACAAAATCTTGTCAATTCTTTGGCTGTCGTGTGAGCTAATTTATTATATAATTAAAAAAAAAATATTTAATTACATCAAGATTACATTTAATATTTACAGATGTTAATATCACAGCTGGATGATAAAAAAAAGAATGGAATTGCTGGTTGTCATAATAGAAAGACAACCAGGCTTGAAATTTGCGACAGTTTGACTATTGCAGCTAGAGACACACCAGTCACGTCTCGACCACCACCGACAAAAAATTATGCTATAGCTATAAACGTTTGCCTCAAAATTGCTTATCTCTAAGACCGGTAAGTAAATGTCAAGTATAAAATCTAAAACTTCTTGCAGTGTTAACTTTTATAGTTGGAATACCTGTGATTTCACTATTTCTTTATGGTAACTTGTGATTTGATGACAGTCAGAGACTCTTAATATTTACATTCAGGACAAACTCTGTTTACAAAATACAAAAAAAAAATATTTGACAATAAACAACTAATAGTTACATAAAACTATAACACATTTTTACATATTTAACATTTTACTTTCAGGAAATTGATCAGTATTGAGGGCGTTTAGATCGCATTACAAACAAGAGATGACATTTTGTTATGGTGCCAGATGATGATGAACAGAAAAGGTTTCGCCTTGCTGTCTACCGTCAGTTTTGGAGGCACAGTCGACTTGGAAGAGATAATCAGACAAGTAATATCAAACTGTATAGTCTGCAAAGTAAAGAGGAGGTATCCTGACAAATGGGCATAACCATGAATGAAGGAGCACTGTTCAAAAGATCTACCCAAATTATCAAACAAAACATTTTTTCTATTAGTTAAAGATACATTATGGTGGATTAGATAAAGATCTGGCAGTTCTCACTATTATAGTTAAAACAAACCGAGAAAACCTTATTGTAAAAATGACTGTAGCCTAAATTGCCATTGTTACCGCCGAGAAAACCTTTGTTTAAAAATGACTGTAGCTTCGATTGTCATTGTTACTGCTGTCACGATAATAAACAAAGTCTTGATTATCCATTGTTGCGTTTAATCAACAGACGGTGAACAGCAGATCAGATTCAAATCCAATGAAAATCGGACACCTTATAGAGCGGGAATCCAGAGGGGTAACCTAGCTGAAAAGTGTACCAATTTTCTCCTATATGGTATCAATGTATGTATATCTGGCATCATCAGAATGTAAGTCTGCCGGATTTCTGGTGGTGGGTGTGGTATTCCACGCCCAAAATGCCATGCCTCCCAACTAGTCTAGATTAGCTCAAAAGTGTACCACATGAAAATCGCACAGCAATGTACAGTACATCTTCAGGTATTACACCTCAATCAGCTTTGGAGTTGTTCAGTACCACGAGAGGAATCATGAATGACCACTGCCAGACAGTTTGTGCGGTGGGTTACCCCTAATAGACACGTCCAAAATGCCACGCCCTCCAACTATTTAAAAATTGAGCGAGTATGCGTAGATTACTAACACCTAGCACGTATTGAAGAGGCGATAATCTGCGGTGGCAGGAACTTTTTTTTTTCAAAAACGCATTTTTAGCCCCATAAAAAGTTTTTTTCCCAAAAATCAATTTCTTGCAACCGCAGTTTATCGCCTCTTTCATACATGCTAGGTATTAGTATTCTACGCATCCTGGCTAAAAATTTAATTTTTTTAAAACACGGGAACAGTGCTTGCGAAGTTAGCCTAGTTGGGGGCGTGGCATTTTGGGGCGTGTCTGTTAGGGGTGACCCACCGCACAAACTGTCTGGCAGTGGTCATTCATGACTCCTGTGGTGGTACTGAACAACCCCAAAGCTGTTTTAGGTGGTACAGATTTGATCTAATCTAGCCTAGCTTTGGTCTAAATATTAGATAACTCTTGTCAGGGATACTCCACCACTACAAATGTCTGGCAATTACATAGCTCTGCCAGGGGTACCCCCCCCCCCCACCAGAAATGTCTTTCAGAGTGTTTTTGTAATACCTGAAGATGTACGTTACACTGCTGTACGATTTTCATTTGGTACACTTTTGAGCTAATCTGCCCTGTTGGGGGTCATGACATTTAGGGCGTGGAATGACATCAAAAGTTGATTATAATTTATGTCTAATTAATACATGTAGTTTATATAACATTTCAGACCTAAAGAAAGACCTGCAATAGGCACATTTTCTTCTTGCATAATGCATGTTTAATAAACATTGATGCTATTAAAACATATTCCTGTTTTATATTGTGTATATTTAATTTTGGTCAGTATATATTATATTCTGTAATATTCTTAAAATTTTGTGGTCTGTTTCTTCACAATACATGTATCTTCTTGAGTGGGTGGACTTGTGGAGGGGGATCTTTGTATTCTCGTTGGATCAGCTGGGTCTGGGTATGACTGCCCCAGATTAAAGGTACCGCTGACAACGTTGCCGATCTTTTTGAGTATTTGTTTTATATCTGAAAAATAAATAAATTAAAAAGATAAAAGGAAATGGGCATATGTCATGCAGTGTTATATGTGAGAAATTGTCCGTACAATGAAACTTCAATTGTCAGGAGAACAGTATCATGCTGCTAATGGTATACACACCCCCACCCCCGTCCTTTATTGCTGACCTTAGAAAACCAGGATTGATAATGCAGAAAAACTTTCTAGGACCCCAAGGTTCGTGAGCCAGCTCCAAAATCACGGTTTGATTGTACAGAGATGAGACACAATAATTTGATGTTTTCTCATATTTTATAAACACATTTGTTCCATGTTTAAAATTGACCAATTAGTTTCTTACATGACTGTGGGACGGGTCATTTATTAGATATTGTTGAATGTTATTACATAAGTAAGGGGAAAACTAACCTACTGTTTCTGTCAGCTCCTTTTAGTGGTTCACGATTTGCATGCAAATTAAAATCAACTGTTACCAACAAACATTTTGCATGGTAAACCTTTGGACTGCAAAATAATGTCAAATAAATTATTATTGTTGATGTGAAACATCTTTCTTTCAATTTAAAAGAGTACTTTTTAAAGAAGGAACGTGAAACAAGAGGGTTTAATGTCCACTCAACACAAACTAGGTCTAACTAGGACTTACATGGTTCAATTTTATTTCAATATTTCGCTTGCGCATAGGTTTTTATTGCAATCAAACAAATGGACTCAATGACAGACAGTCTAATTCAACGCAAGAGTAGGCCATAGTGCTGCTGCCTAGGAAAAATTTCCCCATAGCACACTGTAGCATATGCCGGACTTCATCAGTAGGACGTTAAACCCCCATTTCATTTCTGATCCTCAACCATTCTGTCACCCAGCCGAACTTGAAAATCATGATAAATCATCATAACTACTAGGCCTTGTTTGAAGTACAATTGCAGGTCTGTTTTGGTTGTGATTACCTGGAACTTACTGGCATGGAATGACTCAATATATTTCCTGTGTGCCTGTAAAATAAATAAGTCTTTGTATTTGATGTTTATTTTTTCTTATGTTTACATCATGTACTGGTAGGCCTATAGTTCAGTACATAAGCATAGAAATAAATTGGAAGGTAACAGAATAATAAATTGAAAATATTCTTGGCCCTTTTATTTTTTCTTTCGAACAGACCCAACAAAAACTAACTGAATGAAACTATAGTATAGATGTAATATTACTAAAAAAACGAAAATAAATAAATTGTTAAAAATGAAAGCTGTGAGTACCTTGTGGTCCCTCTAGAGGTCACAATTATTATCCGATTTAAAAATCACGTGTGGATCGAACAAAATCTGACAGACAAAATGGCTGCCCCTGTAAAACGCAAATTGTGTAAATATGTGGTATGTCAAGGTTGTAGACCCTCTAGAGGCCACAATTTTTTTTCCGATTTTGATGCAACCTTAAATTTATGCTTATATCGCAAAGATCTTGGTTCCTGTCGATATTTGCGCATATCGGACCGTCACTTCTTGAATTATGGCCCCGGATTATATGAAAAATCGCATTTTAAGCTTGTGGTCCCTCTAGAGGTAACAATTTGTATCCAATTTAAAAAACAGTTTGATTATATCACCGTTACACCCTAATGATGTTTGAGTTCGAATTTTGTGAAAATCGGAACAAAACTGCCGGACAAAATGCCCCCCCCCCCTCGTATGCTAATAAAAATATGGTATATCAAGGTTATGGACTCTCTAGTTTTGATGAAACTTGAAATGCATGATTATAACCCAACGATCTTGGTCCCTTTCGATATTCGCGCATATCGGATTGTAACTTCCTGAATTATGGTACCTGATTGTACGAAAGATCGCGTTTTTAGCTTGTGGTCCCTTTAGAGGTCACAATTGTTATCTGATATTAAAAAAACACGTTCGAATATATCACCGTTACACTGTAATGTTGGTTAAGTTCGAATTTCGTCAAAATCGGACCAAAACTGTCGGACTAAATGGCCGCGCCTCGTACGCAAATAGTGTAAACAGCTGGTATATCAAGGTTGTGGATCTCCTAGAGGTCACAGTTTTGATCCGATTTTGAGGAAACTTGAAATGCATGTTTATACCCCAAAGATCTTGGTTCCTGTCGATGTTCGCGCATATCGGATTTAAAAAATCGTTTGAATATATCACCGTGACACCTTAATCACGGTTGAGTTTGAATTCGAATTTTGTTAAAATCGGACCAAAACTGTGGGACAAAATGGCCGCCCCTCGTACGCAAACAGTGTAAAAAAATATGGTACATCAAGGTTGTGGACTCTCTAGAGATCACAATGTTGATCCGTTTTTGATGAAACTTGAAATACATGTTTATAACCCAAAGATCTTGTTTCCTTTTGATATTTGCTCATATCAGATCGCAACTTCCAGAATTATGGCCCTGGATAGTACAAAAAACGTGTCAATATATCACCGTTACACACAAAGATCTTGGTCCCTTTTGGTAATCGCGCATATCCGAACGTAACTTCCTGGATTATGACCCCTGATTTTTCGAAAAATCGCATTTTAGCTTACAGATTCTCTAGAGGTCACAATTGTTTTCCGATTTTATAAACTGTTTAAATATATCGTCATTCCATCATAATGAAGGTTGAAATCGAATTTCGGGAAAATTGAAAGGAAACTGCCCAACAAAATGGCCGCTCTTTGTACTCAAATTGTGTAAAAGTATGCAATACGAAGGTTCTGGTCCCTCTACAGGTCACAATTTTTATCTGATTTTGATAAAACTTAAAACATATCTTTATATCCCAAAAATCTCAGTCCCTTTTAATATTTGTGCATTCCAGACAATAACATTTTGGATTATTGCCCCTGATTGTACATAAAATCGCGTTTGTTTTTAGCTTTTTCTGTATCTGAGAATGCTTTGTGTACTCGGGGTCTGGTCTTTATCCGTGATGGTTGGACTAATTGGTTATAACATTCCTTCCGCGTTCGTCGAGGGTTTTATCTGTGAGAAATATAATTATTTTCTTCGTTACATGCTGACATTTGTATCAGTGGATATCTATGGTAAATATTGTCGAATAAATTGACACAAATGGGTCGCAACGTATATAATAATTGAATATGAATGTAAATAAACTGATTTACATTCAATCGTTTCCGTTTTTACTCTTAATTTCAAAGCAGTTATGTTCGGCGAAATACGCCAGAAGTCCCAATCCAGTGGCAATCTCTAGCGTCTGGTTATTCCAGTCTACACCGATAGTATTTATGCGCATGCTCTGCAGATAAGAATATGGAGTCATGGTTTGACATGACTTGTGGAATATGTCTAACCTCGTTCTTCGAGTCGCTTGTTACAAATTGCTCTAAAACGTTTTATGGTACACGATTCGTGTACCAATCGTAAAATGTTTATTTTGTCTTAAATATTGGATATCAGAAGCCCATCTTTTTCCGGTATGATCACAACACCAATGTTAATTAAAATTGACAAATAATTCGTGTTTTCATTGTCGAAGGTTTTGGGTGATATTGAGTTAGAGACTTAGCTACTTTAAACGAATCGTCTTTTCCTTTCAGGTTAAATTGGATTTTTTAAATCAAAATTTTACTGGAATTTATGTAGGTTTTATATTTTATGTATCCTATGTAAATTTTTATGTAAAGATTGTCACTCCATAATGTAATTAATGGAAAAGGGTGTTGATTTTCATTTCAGACAGATTATCATTTCATTTCAGCATTACCAATGCGAGTTGTGAAATAATAAAACCACCGGATAGTACAGGAATATGTATAATCACACTAATTGTGTTGAGTGCCCCATCTCTCTCCTCCATCCGGACAATTGACGACGGAGATACGCCCTGCTCGTATTTCGAATTCTAATTGTCAAGGGTAAAAAGGGACATGATTTTTTCGTAACACCCAAACCACAAGGTCACCCGTCCCTGCACCACTAACAAGGAATAGGTGGGGAAGGGGCAGGGGGCACGCCGCAAAAGCCCTAGGAATGCTCTCGGTCAACATCAGGATAACAAACGGGACCATCAGGCCAGTTAGCCACAACATGAGCCCCAACTGAATTGGGCAGTAACAGATATGCAGGTACGTCCTGTAAAGTAGTATAATCGCCAGCCCACCCCGATTGGCGTGAACTATTAAGTAACCACTTTTCGATTGAGATCAAATTCGACGCGCAATTGTAAAGTTCAGTAGTATGCATAAAGTAAAATTTAAGGATTCATCTAGCCTTTCTTTCCTTACTAAAGTAGAAATAGTTAGCGTTTAAAAGTTAAACAAAAAAATCAATTAATGACTTGAATCGTCATTTGGTTGAAGGGTGTTTTTGAATTTATTACAAAGCTGAAATTAAGACTTAATATTCTTGTTGTCAGATTGGGTAATCGATATATTTCATCATTGCTTGAGTATCCTCATTGAAACGTTGCAGTTAATAAACCCAGAGAATGTCCTAAAGCTGTCTGTTATGATTTATTACCATGAAATATTTGTCTCTGTCCATCTTGTAACTTTTTAACTAGTTCAAACTCATTCAGTAACATTAAGGCACATTCACTCTGATCTATATCGAATGCTTCGTTCCAAGCCGTTGCTGTTATCGTTAAATTAAATGGTTTCTTAACGGCACAGAAATCACCAATTATTCTTAACAGATTTTTAAAATTGTGAACCTCTTCTAGTCCTTCGGTTCCCAAAGAAGTGATTTCTTTAAAAAGTTTTCGTTTAAAATGTTCGTAAATATTTACGTCTGCTTTCTGTATATTTCTCAGATTTTGGCGATGTTCAGGACTTAGTGCATACTGTTTCTTCTGTGGGTTCTGGTTACGTTTGATATAAAGCACGTCCCTAGTTTGCCAGCACAGTTTCCTTTTCAACAATACAAGAGATTCGTCAAAATATTCCATCACCATCACAAAGTGGAATTCTACGTCTATACGCTCTACAAGCGATCTTATACTAGCCTCGACATTTCGTTGTACAACAGGAAGACCAAAATCATACGCCATTCCCCTGATAGCAGATACTTCATCTGTGTCGCTTTCGCCTTTGATATGAGCATAGATGTAAGGATCATCCTTATATTTTTCCACCAAAGGAATCCCCCTACCTTCGTAGAAATCCATGGATATATATCTCTCCACCGGATCCCGCACAATTCCAAGGATAAATGGATTATTTGGAATAAGTGTTCGGTACATAGTGTGGTTATAAATCGTATCAACGGATAATATATTATACACTCGACCTTTGGGTAATGGTATGATGGATTGCCAATCAAAATTATCTAAACTTCCCAAAAACCAGAAATGTCCGTCGTAAGGTTTATCTGGAAGAACAAAATTAAGGTCATTCCTCATTCCAAAGCGCTGAATAATATTTGAAACAGTTGTACTGCCACATTTATGAACTTTCAAGAAAGCTATGTCGATGATTTTTTTCCTACAAACTGTTAACCGATCGATTGGCTTTATTTTCTTAAAGTATGGCAGATAATAACACACAGTAAATCTATAAACAAAAAAGAAAAAAAAGCATCGTGTATGAATTCAGAAATATACCCATCATGACAACAAAGAAACAAAATTATAAAATATAGGTCCAAAATCCTGAAATACATAATGTGGTGAAATGAACATACTGCTTTTTTGCTCCATCCGGCCTGATGAAGACGGACAGACTTCGTGCACTATGCAACGCCTTACTCTTATTTCGAATCCCAACTGTCACTGTTGGACGGGTGCTCGATTATTCTTCCCATCCGTACGGCTAGACACTGTTCCTTGCCCCCACCCCCTCGTCACCTGCAACACTGACAAGGTGAACCCAGACCGGAAAATCGGAGGTACTTTCTAAGCCAACACCTGGATCGTACCTGGCACCTTCAGGTTAGTGAGCCAGCGGCTTTGTTTTCTTGGTAAAATTTATCCATAGAAAGACATTGATCATGTAGCCTACTTATCGCATTGCGAATAGAATCATTAATCATACATTTATTTACAATATAATATCTTGTTTTTGGTCTTTCGCTTAAATATTTCAAAGTTGTGTAAATAATATTTAAAAGACCTGGGTTTTTTTTTCGCCGTAGCACTATACTAATATAACTAAAATAATATATAATTTACAATTAAGATATTTAGCATGTGCGTCAAAACTGGTTTACAAATGTAAAATATAATTTGTCTACTAAAAGCTATCGCGCTTTGATAATATAAATTTACAGGGGTCAGGACAGTCATCCAATCTAAGTTTAGAAAGATTTTTCTATTAATATTTCCTGTGTAGATATGTTGGGTTTCTTATAGAAGCTTCTCTACATATACGACGCAGCGCCTTACTCACTCAGTGCTAGGCAATACTAGGCCTTCTACATTGCTCTACATTGTTCTCGACACTACAAGTATGAATAAAACTTTTAGCTGTTAAAGAAAACAGATTTACTTACCCCAAAATAAAACCCAGGAATAATATTTTTCTTAGTCGAGATAGAACCATCGTAAAGTCTGTAAATAAACAAAATTTAAATGTATACCTCAAAGATCATCGTTTTGTTTCTACAAAAGGGCGTAGACGTTCGGATGAGAACAAGGTCCACTTGGAAACAAGAACCATTGACAGTTGGGATTCGAATATGTGTAGGTGCAAAAACCACTTCCCGCGCAAAGTTCTCCTCGCGTGTGACCATGGATGTGCACCTCCAAATGCCAATATTGTGTAGACGGCGATGATTATTCATTGATTTTATAATGATAGCAGACAAGTATTCTACCTCAGTTTCTCCAAATGCAAGTATTATGTGGACGGCGATGCCATCTTCGAGTCAATGATTTTATAATGATATAAGACAAGTATTCTACCTCAGGTTCTCTGTTAAAACGCTCTTCCTGCAAGAAAGTACGGAGAATAGGAACCAAGAAACAAGTACATAAACATACAATACACAAATGACAATATTAATTCAGTTTCTAATCGAACGACCTACTTGAGTTTGGTCATGTGGCATCTGACCGGTATCCTATTCTCACCTGGATCTTACAGTAGACAGAGCTACAATGTTCGTGGACGTTAGATATTCATTGGAATATCCTTGGAAGATAAAGCCAGCTGGTCACGGATCGAGTATTATTATGAAAATAAGCGTTTAAGTACGATATAAACCGAGCTTATAATATCAGCCGAATAAGAAGACAATGCTAATTGAATTCGCTGTGCAACATCTGTTAAAAATCACTTTTAAATTTACGCAAACACGGCTACACAATTTACTTTAAAGTGAACATCTTTCACAGTATCAAATGTATAAAATTATTATTATATTTTTAAATTGTTTATTATATATTTTATTACGTTATTGTGGTATATTCGAAGTTCCCCTATATTTTTCAGAGTGGTTTCCTCCTGTCAGTGGTGGAGTATGGAAGGGTATCGCTGCTAATATTAAATGCTTTGCGATAATGTCGTTTCCATTGATTATATGTAAAAACTAAAATGTACAAAGTCCTAATACCGATAATGATAAAGTCAAAATACCTCTAAGGCAAGAGGTAAATGTAAAACGTCAAATGTTAAGTGTTAAATGACAAATCTTTTGTGGGAAAATGCTTTTTTTGACGTGTCTACATTTTACATTTCTCTCATTACATTTTACATTTCCACTCCACCACATCACATTTGCCCTTTACGCTTTCTACATAGCATCTTTCGCACAGCATCAACTTTCATATGCAAATGTAGGATATCGCGTGACTTATTAACATATACGGAAACCCGGCACACTATAAACCAGCACACTGAGGATATTCACCGCACGATAACAGTAAATCAAGCTGCACACCATGAATCATGAATGTGCCAGGAAATAATTGATAGATTCAAAGAGCCAAAGAAACATACTTTCCAGTAATTTATAACACAATAACTTGAATTTCGTATTAATACCCGTATTTTGATATTTACCCCCCCCCCACTCTTTCCGGTCTCTCTATAAAAAGAGTTGAGTACAGCCTAATTAACTTTGATCCATTAAATATATAAGCATTGTACCCAAAAAATAAATAATATATTTAAAGAGAGGAATGACTATACATTTTTTAGTATGGACATAAAGAATTTTTGATTAAGCACCGTATCTTTAGTTTAGTTTAGTTTAGCCCCCCCCCCCCCCACACACACACTTCAATCTTATTTTGTAAAGTTAAGCAAAAATGAATGTGCCAGAAAATTATTTGCATATTTAAAAAGAGCAATGAGTGATACGTAACATGGTATCTGGAATTTTGTATTTAGACTAGTATTTTTACTTGAATACCCCTTTAATAGTGTGATATTTATTGGATTTGAATTATGAAAATACGATTGTACCAGAATACTATTTACATATTTATAAAAAAAAATGAACGTGCTTTTCACTAATATGTAACATGATACCTGGAATTTCGTATTTGGACATTGCACAGACCCCACCCACCCCCACCCCGTAATTATGGTAAAGTACCATCCAAATTCTCAAGGTAAGTAAATTTTTATTGTGTGCTAGGCTGATTTCCTGTTATAGTATCGTGAATATACTTGTTCTGGCTTATAGTGTGCCAGGTTTCCGTATATGTTAATAAGTCACGTGATATCCTACATTTGCATAATATAAAGTTGGTGCTGTGCGAAAGATGCTATGTAGAAAGCTTGAAAGAGACATGGGATGTGGCAGAGCCCAAATGTAAAATGTAATGAGAGAAATGTAAAATGTAGACACGTCAAAAAAAGCATTTTCCCACAAAACATTTGTCATTTAACACTTAACATTTGGCGTTTTACATTTAACTCTTGTCTTAGAGGTATTTTGACTTTATCAGTATCGGCATTAGGACTTTGTACATTTTACTTTTTACATATAATCAATGGAAACGACATTGTCGCAGAGCATTTAATATTGGCAGCGATACCCTTCCATAGTGGAGGGCGAAGGGTCTGGCCAGAACAGCGTCTACTCTGCTGGCGTGCATTTAAAAGAACCACTGACAGTTGAGATTCATTTGCTTCCCGGGAAAATTCCTTCTTCATTTGCTCAGCCGGAGCAGAAAAGTGGGACATTATCCCCATTTCATTTCATTCCGGGCAAAATGTCCCTCACCACCCTGATTTGTGCAGAAAAGTAGGACGTTCCATCCCATGCAATCATTCATTATATCATCTGACTGATACCCACTTGTCAGTGGTGCCGAAAGGTGGGTCTGACAAGGAACAGTGTATAGTCGTTAGGATGGGAAGAAAAACCGAGACCCCGTGTATATATTGGTGTGCACGTAAAAGAACTCCCGAGACTTGAAATTTGGAATAAGAGTAGGCCGTTGATCAACATTTCTCTCAAAGCACACTGTAAGGCGTATGCCCGTGTTTATTAGCCCTGCGATGCAGAACAACAAGACGATAAACCCTACTTCATTTCATTTCATTTGAATAAAGGTGGGATTTTAAACCCCATTGCATTTCAAATATGGAACATATACTAAACAGCAAAAAAAACCCCCAAAAACGTCAGTACGATTTCAAAATCAGAGAGGCACTTTAATCAAATCATTCTAGAAAACGCCTTTCTAAATGGATCAGAGCAATTTTTTGCGAACAGTATGTTGACACATTAGTAATTAATTCATCACAATTCCATGACACATTGATCAGAATAACGCTGGCCACGTCGACGCCATATTCTGGTCCTGCCATCTGCAGTTGATACAAAATACCGACTCTCATCTGTGAACAGAACAGTTCTCCATTGCATGTGTCGCCAGTTCTGGTGTTGTTGGGCAAACTGTAGACGTTCACGTCGATGGCGAGGGACGGTCTACGGCAATGGATGTTCTCTCTGGTGAGACGTCGGCGCCTGTGTGAAGGGATTAGTGTGAATGATTCAACCAGGTGTGGGGGATGCATTTTAAAGGACTGGTACCGGTGAACAGCACGTGCAGCATGAGTTACATGAAAATTATGGAGAACACATTACCATCTCCGGAGTCCGGTTGCGTTTTTGAGAACAGTTCCTGTGTTCAATTCTGTGTTTGGGAAGGAGCCTTATTGCTCAGGTAAAGTTGGAGATGTGGTCACATATCTATCTATCTATCTATCTATATATTTGTGACTGTCGTTTGTCTGTCTGTCTGTCTGTCTGTCTGTTCGGGGTTGGCGGCTACACTAGGTCTGCCCCGAGTCTGGAATTTGGTGTATAGGGGTAGCTCGAACCGGAAAATAACATAGGCCAGGTGGCGTTAGTCTACAACTTCCGGTTTCGGAGTTATGACCCCCGAGCGAAGCCGGTCTGTTCGGGGTTGGCGGCTACACTAGGTCTGCCCCGAGTCTGAAATTTGGGGTATAGGGGTAGCTCGGACCGAGGAGTAGCATAGGCCAGGTGGCGTTAGTCTACCACTTCCGGTTTCGGAGTTATGACCCCCGAGCGAAGTCTGTCTGTTCGGGGTTGGCAGCTACATCTGCCCCGAGTCTGAAATTTGGGGTATAGGGGTAGCTCGGACCGGGGAGTAACATCGGCCAGGTGGCGTTAGTCTACCACTTCCGGTTTCGGAGTTATGACCCCCGAGCGAAGCCGGTCTGTTCGGGGTTGGCGGCTACACTAGGTCTGGCCCGAGTCTGAAATTTGGGGTATAGGGGTAGCTCGGACCGGGGAGTAACATAGGCCAGGTGGCGTTAGTCTACCACTTCCGGTTTCGGAGTTATGACCCCCGAGCGAAGTCTGTCTGTTCGGGGTTGTCGGCTACACTAGGTCTGCCCCGAGACTGAAATTTCGGGTATAGGGGTAGCTCGGACCGGGGAGTAACATAGGCCAGGTGGCGTTAGTCTACCACTTCCGGTTTCGGAGTTATGACCCCCGAGCGAAGCCGGTCTGTTCGGGGTTGGCGGCTACACTAGGTCTGCCCCGAGTCTGAAATTTGGGGTATAGGGGTAGCTCGGACCGGGGAGTAACATAGGCTAGGTTGCGTTAGTCTACCACTTCCGGTTTCGGAGTTATGACCCCCGAGCGAAGTCGGGTATCCTGTTAGTATACAATTACACATATCATTATACTCATTACACATATCAACCTGACGTTTCTTTTGCTGCTTAGTATATTTAAAACAGGCATTTTCGAGATCTAAATCTGCCTATTTCAGGTATTTCTTTATGCCTTAAATGTTATATAAATTACTAGCAGGATACCCGGCTTCGCTCGTTCAAAACCGGAAGTGGTAGACTAACGCCACCTGGCCTATGCTACTTCCCAGTCCGAGCTACCCCTATACCCCAAATTTCAGACTCGGGGCAGACCTAGTGTAGCCACCAACCCCGAACAGACCGGCTTCGCTCGGGGGTCATAACTCCGTAACCGGAAGTGGTAGACTAACGACCTAGTGTAGCCGCCAACCCCGAACAGACAGACTTCGCTCGGGGGTCATAACTCCGAAACCGGAAGTGGTAGACTAACGCCACCTGGCCTATGTTACTCCTCGGTCCGAGCTACCCCTATACCCCAAATTTCAGACTCGGGGAAGACCTAGTGTAGCCGCCAACCCCGAACAGACCGGCTTCGCTCGGGGGTCATAACTCCGAAACCGGAAAGGGTAGACTAACGCCACCTGGCCTATGTTACTTCCCGGTCCGAGCTACCCCTATACCCCAAATTTCAGACTCGGGGCAGATGTAGCCGCCAACCCCGAACAGACAGATTTCGCTCGGGGGTCATAACTCCGAAACCGGAAGTGGTAGACTAATGCCACCTGGCCTATGTTACTTCCCGGTCCGAGCTACCCCTATACCCCAAATTTCAGACTCGGGGCAGATGTAGCCGCCAACCCCGAACAGACAGATTTCGCTCGGGGGTCATAACACCGAAACCGGATAGGGTTCTTTTCATAAGAAAACATGATATAAGGTTTTTCTTATTGAATACTAGCAAATATTCATTTTACGCACATGTAAACATAGACGGGTTATAAGCTGGGAAAAAAAGACTTCAGAAAAAGCCCCCGAGAGAAAAGCCCGAGCCTGCGGGCCTTGGTTTTTCTTTTCCTCGGTTTTTTTTTTCTTCAGTCTTACTTTCCTCGGGGGTTTTTCTTCAGTCTTACTTTCTTTTAGATTATCAATTGATATAAGTAGTG